GAATTCACCTATGGAGGAGTAAATTCAGATTCTGACTGGCAGGCATTGCTGCCAATTGGTTTCCCAACAGGAGGTGTCAGTTCAAGAGGCACAAAACCATTGTCATATATTTTCTTCCCGTTGCTCAATGTGTGACCTGCCAAATTTAAATTCAGTACCAGTGTGTGTTGTCTACTGAATGAACACACTAATGCATCATTTATAATGGCGAAGCGATTTTAGTGTAAACTCACATGCTCTCCCTGGAACTACAATGGTTGCATTTTCACATTACCGGTGATAATAACACTCTTACTTTCCCCATATTATCAAATTCTCTGCCTTCATTTTCAAAATTCTTGATTATTATTTTCCTTTAAAGACCTGGCCTTGAGGATCTAATAAATAATGCTTGAATTGTCTCCTGAACACACAAAGAAGGCACAATAAGAACATAGAGTACCCACATAAAATAACACATTCTAAAAAAATTTCCAAGTGAAACGGACACAAGAAAATTTATAGAGATGTGTAAGGTCAGTACTAACCTATTACGTTCACGCTGTCTCTCTGCTCAGCTCCTCAAGGTCACAACCTAATATCTGTGTTAGATGCTTAAATATTTTGACAACCCTCTCCCTCCTAAGGGGGTGGAGTCCAATAAGGAGCAGTCACTCCCACAGCCTCCAGCCTCCACAGAGCTCAATACTAGACCTGAAAGCAAAGGACAGCTCAACAATGTTTGATTTCAAGATTATCCATAAATGCACAAAGAAGGGATTTCAGGTGTATTTGGTTGCTCAATAGGTCCATGGGAACCAGGCTTCTATTAACACTGCTGCTTATGTAGGATTTCATGAAATTTGCTGTAAAGATGGAAAAATCTTATGGGAAAATGTGTCACAGGAGGGTAGTGTCAGAAAAGAGGATAAGAAAGAGAAAATAGAGAGATAGCAATCTAAATTCATAACAAGGACTGAATGATGAATACTGTTGCAACCCAAATTCTCTAGGCCCAAAGAATCCGTCTGAGTTATCTAGCAGTGGGCAGGAGGAACTCAGCTGCTTTACCTGGGCCTGTGTAGACCCTTTCCTTAGAGACTACACTTCAGCATTTCCTCTAGCCTCAGGACCCTTGCATGTGCTGTTTCTCTTGATTGGAACGCTCTCTTGTGCCTACTCTCAGGCATCCTGTGCTTCCTCTGTCAAGTAGTTATGACCTTATCTGTTTAATATCTGTGTGTCTTTCCCCGCCCTCCACCCCCATTTACTGTGAGCTGCCAAGGGCCCATGACTGACTATAGTGCCTGGCACCACATGGAAGAGACGTCATAAGTAAAAATAAATACATATAAATATGTATAATGTATCTTTTCCTAATGAAAAATTTCTAACAGATATAAATGCAGAAAGAAGAGTATAATGGGCCTTAATGCACCCATCACATTACCACAATAATTGTAAGCATTATTTTGAAGCAAATCCCATTGTATTGCATCAATAAATAATTTAAAATATATCTTTTAAACTTGGTGAAATTATTTATGTTACAGAAAAATTGTAAAAGTGGTGCAGAGTTCCCAAATACCCTTCCTCCAGTTTTGTCTAATATGCATATCATACATAACCATAGTAAAATGGTCAAACCAGGAATCTGGCATCGATACAATACAATTAACCAAACTCCATAGTTTACAGGTTTCGTCAGTTTTTCAACCAGTGTCTTTTTTCCCGTCCAGGATTTCACACCGATTAGTTGCCATAGTCTCCTCCAACCCATATCTGCTGACTTGGGGCGTTAGGAGAACACTGGTCTACTGTCCCTCAATATGGTTCTGCCTGATGTTTCCTTGTTGATTTATTGAAGTTATATGTTATTTTTTGCAAGAATACCACAGAAGTTATGCTGCTCCTATCTTGGGGCATCACTTCTGGACATAACATCATACCCAAGACAAAATATGTCTTATTAACAATGAAGCTAATCTTGATCCTTTGACTCAAGTAGTGTCTGCCAGTCTTGTTAGCTATAATGTTCCTATTTGGAATTAGTAAATATTTTATGGGGAGGTACTCTGTGACTATGCAAATATTCTGTTTCTAAATGAGCTTTCACCCGCCAACTTTAACATTCATTATGGATCTTGCCTACAGCAAATGCTACTATAGTGTTTGCTTAATGGCGATTTTCCTCATTCCTTCTACAGGGAGCAATTTAAATTCTCTTCTAAGAGCCGAAACCGGTTTGGCTCAGTGGATAGAGAGTCGGCCTGCGGACTGAAAGGTCCCAGGTTCGATTCCGGTCAAGGGCATGTACCTGGGTTGCGGGCACATCCCCAGTGGGAGATGTGCAGGAGGCAGCTGATCGATGTTTCTCTCTCCTCAATGTTTCTAACTCTATATCTCTCTCCCTTTCTCTCTGTAAAAAATCAATAAAATATATTTTAAAAATAAATAAATTCTCTTCTAAGAAAGAGCTATCACTTCTCCCTTATTTATTTATTCAATTATTTACTTATAGCAGCATGGACTTATGGATATTTTACCATAAGGGTTATGATCTAATACTGTTAATATACATTTCATTGTTCTATCTTTGACCTTTGGAAGATATTTCAGGTTGGCTCCTATATCCTTAAAACAACTTTCCTCCCTTTATGGTTAATTCCATGTATTTTCTGCCCCAAAGATGTTTCAGGTTATCTTGTGTTTCCTCTACCCCAATCCTGATTGGTCAAACAGGGCTAGTGAATGAGCCCAGGAGGAAGGTTAGAGGCCCCTCCATGCCCAAGGCTGTAACTGGGCTGGAGCTCAGGGTGAGGAAGGATGTGAGGAAGCACTCTTGCAGGCATGGGAGTCACTGAAGGAGGTAAAGAAGGTGGTGATCCTCAGACTTGCATCTTAGAAAAACTGTTACTGAACTAAAGGGGTTCATTTGCCTGTGTGCATCAAAGCCCAGTCAAATGCAGCAGGTCTATTAATTGAGGGAATGGCGCCAAACCCAGAGTCACAGGTGAGCAAATGCTCAAAGACCTGGTTCCGGATGGCTTCTAGTGGACACATCATGAAGGGGAAGAAGTCATTAATCATGATGACTAAGGGAGTTAGGGTCGTGGTCATGGTCATGGTTCTAATGATTGGTCGATGCTAGGGTAGGGGGTTGTTATCATTGCATCTGGTCCTGCTGTCAGCCATGGCATTGCTCTGTCTGGTTTCACAAGGGTGTGGTTGGTGGGCTGGTTCTGCTTTTCTGGGTCTGGAGCTGAAACACAACTGAGGCCTAGATGCCATGTCTAAATTGGCTGACACTCTGTCTCTGTGGTCAGCAGAGAGGCTTTGTTCCTAAGATGGTTTGATTCTGACCAGAACCTCATTGTTTGGAGGACATAATGATTAAGGGAATGGACGTGGGGGGAGAAAGAGGTAGGTGAGCCAGGGTGCTGGGTAAGCCAGTTTGAATCAAAGAGAAAGGAATGGAATTTCTGCATGGTTACCACCACTGTGGTTGCAAGTAGAGAGCAGACCAGAGGGGAGTGAAGCTGCAGTTGGGGAAGTTACTGGGGTGGTGAAGTCGAGAAATCATGAGGCTGATCTCAGGAAGTGGAAGGGAGAGACGGGCAGTGGAAGAGAGACAGGCATGGCGGTTGGGAGCTGTGTTGCCATGGCTCAGTGTCATGGGGGGGGGGGGCAAGGAGAGGCAAGGCCTCTATGTATGTGGACACCTTGGCTGCCAGCGCTGCCCTAGCTCCAGGGAGGAAATGGAGAGGAGGAGGAGGAGCCTGTGGAGCAGACTCTGAGTCTGGTTTCTGAGAAGCCGAGTTTGAGGGGACCGAGGAACAAGATGCTGGACATGAGCTGTGGGCTGTCAGGGGCAAAACCCTGTGGCTTCTGAGCTGAAATAAGGTAACCTGGTCAGGAGGGAGGAGAGGCAGGGGCAGGGCTGTGTGCCCAGCTCGGAATTGGTTTCTCCTGGATGAACCTGGGAGAGAGGAAGCCCTGAGGTCTCCCAGAGGGAGAAGGAAAGATCCTGTAATACAGGTCAGTCTCGCTATGACATGGGTTAAGTTCCTGTCAAGTTGGAAGGCAACTCACATCCTCCTTCCCTGGGACATCCCCACCCCTTCCCCCCGAAGCAGGCCAAGAGCAGGCAGCTCCCTCCCAGGGGACCAGAAGGGTCCCGTGAAATCAGCAGCTGAACTCCAGGGGCAGGTGTCGGGGGCGGGTGGGTGGAGGTGGGGAGCTCTGTCCAGACCTTTCTCCTGGCACATGACCCGTGTACCTCTGCCTTCTGGACACATCATCTGGCTGCCCCTCAGTCAACTCAAATTAACCAAACTGTTACAGAAAAACCGGACGAGAACCAAACAGTGCCCTGAGAGTTTGGAGTTACACTTTATTCACCGTGGCGGGATTAGGGAAATGAATCCAAATTCTGGCGGTGGCCTTGAAAACTACACAGTTCTATCAATTAAAAAATGCACCTGGCATGGCATTGGGTGTATCTAGTCTCTGGCCTACAAGGTCAGGCAGCTAAGTTTATCTCCCCCACTATTCAAGCAGGCTAGAAAGCAAAGTTACTTTTTCAGAAGAAGAGGTTGTCCAAACAATAGCAGAGAATTCCAAACAGTAGTTTTACAGAATAGGGGTTTTCCTTCACAAAACCACAAACAGAAATCAAGTTTCCATTCTGAGATTGGTCCTGCTGGCCCACACCGTTGCCCAGGCTGGAAGCCTGTCATATCCCTGACCTGCTCTCTCCCTGCGAATCCCCATTTCCCCTTCATTCTCACTTCAACCCAGCTGCTTCTCTCCACACCAACACATCTTTCAGTGCGGGACACCATCATCTCTCCTGCAATTTCCATAGAACCCTGCACAGCAGACTCTGTGTCCACACTAGGTCCCTGTGGTGCTGTATTCCATCTTCCATGCGACAGCCAAAGTGGTTTTTCTTTTCCTTCTTTTTGAGATATAATTGACCTTCAGCATTATATTAGTTTCCAGATTACAACATAATGATTCAATATATGTATATATTATGAAATAATGACCACAATAAGTCAAGTCAACATCCATGACCACACATAGTTGCAAATGTGTTTTCTTATGATGAGAATTTTTAAAATCTACTCTCTAACAATTTGCAAATATAATATGCACTATTGTTAACTATAGTCCCCACACTGTACATAATGACATCCCAGACTTATTTATTTTGTAACTAGAAGTTTGTACCTTTGATCCCCTTCACCCATGTTGCTCACCTCCACCTCTGGCAACCAGCAATCTTTTCTTTGTAGCTGTATGGTGTTTTTTTTGTTTTGTTTTTAGATTCCACATATGAATTTTATGGTGTTTGTCTTTTTCTGCCTCACTTATCCTATAGAATAAAGAGCTAATATGTTAATGGTCATCACACCGTCATGCCGTGATGCCCTCACGCCGTTAACTACCGATCACCAGGAGGCTGCGTGCACAGCAGGCATGTACTATGAGTCACGCATGGGTGGGCAGACACTTGACGCTGCGTCCCCACGGGTGCTGGTCCAGACTCTGACAGGAGGGAGGAGGGAGCCGAATATCCGCACCCAGGACTTGGCAAATAGCGATATTAAAATATTTCTTCTAATTAATTCCCTTTCAAAGTGCATGAATTCATGCACCGGGCCACTAGTTTCACTTAACATAATGCCCTGAAATGGGTCTGT